TTTGACCGTTTTTGGCTTTACTACTAAATTATTCATTGGATCGGTCGGTAGAACTTCTTAAAAATGTTTTGTGATCATGCAATATTCTTTTTTCTTCATTTTTTGAAAAAATAAAAAAGAGCAAAAGTAGTGTCACTTAAACCATTGTAACTCGTGAACAATTATTGGAAATGTCATGAAATTTTGACAGTGGAGGTTTGAAGGTCGGTACTCTTTAAAAATCATATGGATTTTCCATTTGTATCATCACTTCTATGTTAGTCTCGAGACTTTTCACCCCATGTAGTATGAAGCAGAACATTTCATTCAAAGACGAAAGCTAAGTTAGTATCTCCACCTGTCGAAAATATTTGAACTACAGAAATAATTTTCTCAAGGATTCTTTGTGTTCACACAATTGTCATTTTCCAGATTCTGCATTTATACGAAAGGTATTGAACACCATCCATCGACTTTGGTGACCATGTCATCAATTTTAAATATTGATGTCCAGATTTAGTTAGACTTAAGGTAGATAAATGTACTTACGCTTTTATAAAAAATAAATTTTAAAAAATGAATCATGCAATAGATATCGATTGTTTTAATTTCACAGTTTAGTTTCCGAAGCTCAAAACAGCTGATATACAAACCGAATTCTCCTGAACATTTTTAGAGGCAATGAAGTTTTATTCGATATAATTCTCCTTAGTTTAAGTGAATTTTCTGTTAATTTCTAGGTGCTTTGCATTGAGACACAAATCATTCACTTGTATGGAGTAAATTTCCACCTCCTTGACAAAGAAAAATTAAAAGGCGCATTTATTTGTTTTGTTCTTTTCAAATGATTTTCCATTTGTTGGTTGTTTATTCAATTTATTTGTCTGTTATGGATTCAGTTGTGTGTGTGTTTTATATTAACCAATAAACATTTTAATCATTCCATCAGTAGTAGTATATAACTTTTAAAAATAAATATTTTGTTACTTATTAGATGGATTTTGCAGTTTTAGTGAAATGATAAAAATGAAAACAATTCGATATTTCGATTCGAATACACAAAATTTATTTCACTGCGAATTCGGTTGCACTTAGTCTCTATATTTTTGCTGTTGTTGTTTCGATAATTAGGTTTCTTTTTATTTATCATTTTTTGTATATTATCCGTTTTAAATAATTATGTTCATTTGTTTCACATTTTGACTAACTAATAAGTTACATATCCATACACTTACACACAGGGCTCTGTGTTTCGATATTTTAGTGTTGCTTTTTTCTCATTCTTTCGCTTTCATATAAATATACGTATAAAATATAATTGTAAATTAAATGTTTAAATTTAATTTTTAAAAAAATATTACCAAAAGACAAAAAAAAATGGACGTAGAATAAATCCAAACAAAATTGTTCGTAAAAATGTGTTGTTTGTTTCTTGATGAATGAAAAAATTGAACAAAATAAAAACAAACATTTATAGATCGTTGAACGCATTATGAGTGGACTTATCTTGATTATTAATGTAGATCCTGAGGCGTTCCGCAATCATTGTGAGACCATATATATATATATTTTTCAAATCAATAAACTCAAACTAAACCATATCCCTTTTAATTTTTATACTTCTTGACGTTTATTTTTCGATAGCAACTTCATCTCGTCTCATCAAGTTGCGGTAAATATTACGTTTTCTTTTATTGATTTCATGAATATAAATTGAGATAATCTGCGTGTGCGTTGTGTGTGAGGTTGTGTGTGTATGTGTGCGCGTGTGTGCTTATTGTTTGAATTTCATTAATATGTTTGGCTAAATATAGTATGAAAAAGAAATGGTTACGCGATTTGTGTGAAACAATTTTTGTTGTTTGTTTTTTTCTTCTTTATGTTAAATTGCAAAAAAGATACGCAGTGTGCTATATTTTCATTTGAAAATTGCGAATTTTCTCATTATATTCCAAAAACTAGATGATTTGTGGTTTAAGAATGTATGTAAAGAATGAGGTGTGTAATTTTTTGGGTTGATTTTAAATGCAAGATAATTAAATATAGTTTCTGACCAAGAGTGCAAGGGTTTATTTTTTGAAATTCGCAAATTTTCTTTTTTAGCTTATCACTTTTGGCAGATACGAAAAATTCTTTCAATTTGTATGCTGACGAGAAAAATTCTACGACGGTTTTTACAAATTTATAATTTTTTCATTGTAGATTTTTCGTAAAATGTTGAAATTAAACTCAACGAACCCTTGGATCGCGCCCACTTCAGAAACTATATGAATGAATGAGAAACGAATGAGTATGATGTTTGATGTGAATTTTCATGTGTGATTTGTTTGAAATGTGAATGACACGAACTTATTTTTAATTTTAGATATTTGTTTCTTCTTAATTTGTGATCATTTTTAGATTTAAATTCTTGTAGAACCAACCGAATTTTCATTTTCATCCATTTTCCATTATTTGGGCCAGGCAATTAGTGTCGTGAAAGTATCTATATCGTGTTATTTGCTAATTATTTATAATTTTGCTAAATATTTTGCATTTTTCATCTTCTTCTGTTGTTGTTCACTTTGTATACATAGAAATAGAATATAAAAAACTTAAATCATGGATTGTCATTTAACTAGCTGTTATTTCCAATCATGGTTGTTGTCGGTTATTTTCATTTCTTTCATTTGGTCATTATTTTCCTAATGTTTTCATCTCTTTTACATACATATTCGATTCGAGTGTGTCACAAAATTAGAAAAAAAAAATTGATTCTTAAACTTAAATATTGTTTGTTCATATTTTACAAGAGGATTTTTCCTTTTTCGAAAAATGAATACACATTTTCCCGGTGTTTTTCTTTTCTTTGAGGGATCGTTCGAATTTTTCGCGGATCGTTGGTGAATTAAGAGAAATGAAATTCATTTCGAATCGACTACTTATATATTATGAATTCGACTTTTTATAATATATATTTTTTTCTAATGGTTTGCAGCTAGTTATCACGAGTATTTTGGCTACTCTTCGAATGGCATTGCCTGTGATAGCACGTTGATAAGTGTTCAGATTGTTCTATACGATCATAATCAGACTTGTGTAGTTTGTATATTATTGGCCCATTTGACACTCTTTCCACCGGATGATCCCGACGATGATGATGCAGTTGTTGTATTTGACGTATTTAAATCATCCTTAAAATTTGATTTCATTGTCGATGTCTTGGCGCTTTTACGATGTTGACGAAGCAATGAACTATTTTCATCTGAAAGATAACACCCAAAATAAGTACATTTCAATAAGAGAATGAAAGAAATCGTTGTTTTGATGATCGTACCTGCGTTACTAATTATGAAATCAATGTCACTGGGTTCGCGTCTGTTTCGAGGAAATCCATATGCTGGAATATCTTGATCGTCATCATCATCCTCTTCATCTGCAAATATGTCATTTTCAATTATTTTAAAACACCAAAACAATAAGGTATGATTCTCTCATAGTTCCGAAATAATTCACCTTCTTCTTCAATGTGATCATCATCAAGCTCTTCTTCTGATTCGAATGCATTCGAACCGCCTGAATTTCGATTCTCTCCATTGGCATTTAAAGGTGTCGTTTCACCATCTGTTTCTGACTGAACGTTGTATTTCGGCAAATAGCTATTCGGATGTTTCAAGTAACTCTCAGCTATAAAATAAAGAAACATTTTTTTTAAATGAAAAGTCATGTGAATTTGGATTTCGTGTGATATTTACCAGCTGCAAAACGATAATCATCACTACTGCTATCTAATGGATTTAATGTTGGAATTGATGAATTTATGGTGAATGCGATTGATGCTCGATCTCCACTCTCGAATTCAGAATCATTGAATTCGGTGTCGATTTCATCTTCTTCGGTAACATTTGCCTGACATCGCTGTTGATCAGCAATGGCTCCTGAAAAATCATCAATTATTGATTTGATACAGATTGGATTACAAACTACTTTGTCTTCATATCAATAATACATAGGGTAAGATTACACTACTAACACCACTGACATAGTTGTTCACTTACTTTGTGATTGATAGACTTGTTTGCATTGTGATTCATTGCTTTCGTTACTATGAAAACTAGATGAATCTGGCACTTCACTTCCGGGCACTTCTGTAATATTTGGCAGAGGATTATGGCTTCGTCTCACCCAATCCGAACAGTCCCAATGATATGCTTCGCCATGATGTTCACTGTTCGAATCTTCTAGATTACCGACTCCGGGGCCACTATTTGATATCGTTGAGCATGCTGCCGCTGTCGACCCCGGTGTCGACGGTTGGTATTGCATCGATGGATTCGGCAATGGTACATTCAATAAGCGTCCCTGCAAAACGCCACTCGATTTCAATGTGGCACATCGATGTTCCGATCCAGCCGTGCTACTGATTGGACTGGCTCGTTTGAGATCTGAAAGAAAAGCAAATCCGATTGAAATGATTTGAATGAAAACAAAAAAAAAAAGAATAAAAATAATGTTACCGTTATTGATTTTATTGTCAGTGAATGATTGGAGTTGCAGATAATCAGACCAAGTTTGTTTTGGATCTGTATCGCTTGCCGAATGTCCATTTAAGTTGACTTGTTGATTGATACGTGTCGGTTTTCGATATTCGGGTGGTACATTTTCGAGTTCATCACCGGCCGATCCATAACTACGTAACGTATCCAAATTATTCACAAATACGTTATTGCATGCATATGGTGCGTTTGCTTCGTTGCCACTGGTGAATGATGTGGGCCGTTGTTCGTTTCGTTGACTGATTTCAATGTTGCTCATCTTTGAATTACGCTTAAATTCACCATTGTCACGTGTTACACCGACCAATATTGCATTCTCTTTGCGCGTATCATTGTTGATGTTATTTGTATGCGGTCGAGATGGACGTCGTTTACACAGACGACACGATAAAAATACAACTAGTACAAAAAATATCACAGATAAACCAGATATGACGCCAATGATTTGTTCAATCGAAATATTTTTTAATTGGGTTGTTATCGAATTGGAGTATAATGGATCACCACAACTGGCACCGGTCAAATCCGGTGGACAGATGCAACGAAAACTGCCCGCTTCATTTATACAGGTAGCACCACTGCCGCACGGCATCTTTTCACATTCATCAACATCAATCTGGAAATTCGAATGAAAAATTTTGATTTTATTTTTAATATCAGAAAAAAATATTTGTTTAAATTGTATTACCTCACACGTCGGTCCCATATAGCCGCGACACATGCACAACGGTCCATTGTCACCTTCTTCGCAGACACCACCATTTCGACATGGATTTGGTGAACAGAAACGTCCAAAATCGCAACGTTTGCCACTCATTCGCGGTGGACATTCGCATGTATAGTTTCCCAATAATTCACCTCTACATTTACCACCAAACAAACATGGATTTGATGCACATGGATCAGTGTCGACTGCACAAAATTTGCCAGTGAATCGTGAATGGCAAATACATTCAAAACTATCGCCACCATTGTCTTTGCAGGTACCACCATTCAAACATGGTGCCGTACCACAGACGCCCAATGGTTTTAGCACCACGGATGCATCACAACTGAATTCAATGTTGGCAGTACGTTTTAGAATCGCAATTGAATTGCTTGTACCGGCATTGTGAATGGTCAATGGAATGCGTGACAAATTAATATCGTCCATGCAACCAATAAATCCATGTTGAACATCTTCGAAACCCAAAACGCTTGGATGCTGTTTAACTTCAGCACCCAAATACATGTCGCTCGATTGTAAATTCAATACACCATTAACGCCCGGTGCATTACCTTGTGCAACATGTTTACCATCGACAACTAATCGTCCACTATTTCCTTCACGCTCCAGACGTATATCATGCCATTGACCATCTGATACATAAATACTGGTCACCGTGATCAAACCTTCGCCCGAACCCAAATCAAAACGATATTGAACGACACCATTTTGAATTTCCAAAATTGAAAAATCAATTTTTCCAGCTGCAAACATTAAATTACCGGTCGGTTGAACGGTTCGTATGCGCAACGAAAATACCAAATGCTCTTCAAGTGCTTTTTTCGTTGCCGTTTTTTCCATTCGATATTGAATATAACTTTTGCCATTGAACGTAATCGGATTCTTTGGAACGTAGCAACTGTCATCGGTGCATTTGATAATATCCTTATCGCAATTTGGACCGCCAAATCCTTTCGGGCATATGCAATAATAACCTTGCGGCGATAAGTCTGGCACACATGTTTTGAAACTTGGACATGGATTACTTGCACAATCATTTACCGAATTTTCACATTTTTCACCGCCGTAGCCAATGTCACATCGACAACGTGTTGTATGTTCAAAATGAGCCGATACAAAACTACTCACATCCGATGACACCGTATTGATTTTTGTCGAATCCAATTGCATTCGATCTTCACATTTACCATGATCACAATATCTCGTTGAGCATTTCGATTGAACAATTTCGTCCACCGATAATTCGGTCAATTTTTCAATTTCGCTAATTTTTCCATCCAAAAATGTTCGAATCTCATCCGAACTGTAATATGTCGTTGAAGTTGGATTTAATTGATGTTTTCGCACAGCAAATAATACATCTAAATCATGTTGTAATTGTCGTTTATTTCGTGGATCATTCATTTTCGTTGATTCATTCAAAACCATTGAAATGTTTTGCAAATCGCGACTGTATCGATGATGAGCGATTACATTTGAATCATCGGATATTTGTACAGCAATTATTATAACGTCTTTCAATCGTGATCCAATTGCATTTCGAATCGAACGAATGAATGTTTTGCGATGGCTGAGAACAAATTGTTCGGGTGTTACTTCGGTGAAACGTATCAATACGGAATTTTCAAGCATTTCATCGGTGACTAAATCCACTGATATTTTAATAATGGTATATACAGTGAATTTACCATCGGTAACTGTGACATTCACACGATAATCACCAACATCCAATTTTGGTAGTGCGTAAAGTGTGCCATTCGTTTTCGAAATGTTAAATAAACTCTTTGGCGTGTATAGAACACCCGATGTTTGTGTTAAATCATATGTTAATGTATCATATTGATCTTGATCACTTGCAAAGATGTTGCCAATTGCACCGCCTTGAAATACATCGCCGAATGCATTGATCGAAATGTCTTGTGGCACAACAACTGGTGGATATTGTGATTCTTCGATCACTTTTACGGTCACCCAAGTGTCTGAATGCAACAATGGTGTTCCATTGTCAAATACACGTACTTGCAATAAATAACTGTCTTTTACTTTGTGATTGAATCGTGTTGCCGTTCTTAGTGTACCATCTTGTTGTACAACGAATGCGGCATCCTTTGTAATTATATCAAATGTGAATGGTTCAGCATTTGGTGGTGCATCCGCATCGGTCACTTCGAATCGCAATAGATTATGTCCAATTTGTTTGTCTTCTTGCACGAATGCCGTGTAATTGGGTTGCGTAAACAATGGTGGATTGTCATTTGCATCCGAAATTTCAATGTTCAACAATGAATAAGATGATAGAGGCGGTACACCGTTGTCTAATGCTTCAACTTCAAGAACATAACTTGATATTGATTCGCGATCTAATGCGGCTGCCACTGATACGTAACCGGTATTCTTTTCAATGCTAAATTGTTGTAAACGATCACCACGTACGATGCTATAGCTGATATGACTATTTTCACCCGAATCCAAATCGTTTGCCTGAACCTGTAGAATTTTATCACCAACCATTGAATCTTCACGAATTCGTGCATTGTATGATGTTTGTGTGAATTGTGGCCGATTGTCATTGCTATCGATTACCGAAATGTTTAACGTTGCCAAATTACTTAATGGTGGTTCACCCAAATCAACCGCTTGAATTGTTACGAAGTAGTCTTTGACACGTTCATAATCCAATGTATCAGCGACAAAAATAACGCCAGTTTCATTATTTATTTGGAATTTTCGTTGCTCGTTGCCACCAATAAAGGCATATTTTACAACGGCATTTAGGCCGGTATCTTTTGATGTGGCCAATACACGAATCACTTCCGAACCGATTGGACTGTCTTCCGTTATGCTTGCCGCATAATATTTTGATGTGAATTCAGGTGGATTGTCATTGATATCCTGTGAATGAAAATGAAAGAAATCAACCTTTATTTTTCATATTCTCGACAAAACAAAGAAGTAAAACAGAAGAATAAAAGAAGCAAATTGAATTTCGAAATTCATTACCTGAACGTTAACAATGACATAAGCCATTGATGACAGTTTTGGATTGCCATGGTCAAACGCTTGCACTGTAAGATTGTACATTTCCTTTTCTTCGCGATCCAATGGTTTGGCCAACGTAACAATACCGCTATCGGGAATAATTTTAAAGTGTTCCTTATGCGAATCGATGAATGTGTAATTAATCTTTCGATTAATGCCAATATCTGCATCGGTTGCATGCATTTTCGTTACTAATGTGCCGATCTCTGCATCTTCGGGCAGTGAAACTGTATAGACGGGCAGTGAAAATACTGGTGCATTATCATTTAGATCGGATACAATAATTTCAATTTGTGACGAACACTCCCATGACCGATAGTGATCTTGAACATGAGCGATAAGATGATAACGTGATTGACTCTCTCGATCCAATTGTCGGGCTGTTCGCAAATGACCTAAATTTCATACGAAAAAAATGAATTCCAATTTAAAAAAAATGGTGAAAAATGAAAAAGTAAAGCACATTTTAAATTCAAAAGTATTTTCACCACTTGAAACTTAGAAAGAAAAGCTTTCAAATTAGCGAATACAATTTCCATACCTGAGCTTTCATCCAAGATAAAATCGTCGTCTCCATCACCGGTTAAATAAAATCGAAGCTTTGCATTTTCCGCTTCATCTGCATCGGTAGCTAATACCGACAGTACAAAGCTTCCAACGTGTGCACCTTCACTAAGCGTTTCTTCATAACGATATTTCAAACAATACGGTGGATTATCGTTTGCATCAAGCACTTCAATCGTAACATTTGTATGTGTTGTAAATGTTCCGTCCGTTGCTATAATGTCTAGCGTATAGTTTGGTATTGTTTCACGATCCAATTCTTTGGCCACATACAATTCGCCGGTGTTTCTAATTTGAAAAACCGATTGTGATTGTGAATCACTCGACAAAATATAAAATTCGACGGGTGTTTCGATTTTATCGCGATCCGTTGTGGACAATTGCAATAAAACGGTGCCGGGCAATGCATCTTCACTAACTTTCGTCGAATAGCTGCTATTTTTAAATGTTGGCGGACAATCGTTATAATCTTTTATTTTAATGGTTACCATTGTTTCACCGTTACGTTTTGGTTGTCCATTGTCACTGGCAATCACACGAAAATTATACTCATCAACTTGTTCACGATCCAATAAGACAAGCGTTGTAATCGCACCGGTATGCACATCAATATCAAATATATTCAATATATCACCGGCATTACTATCAAATGCATAACGAATGTCACCATTTGAACCGGTGTCTGCGTCTCGTGCCATCACCTTCATAATCATTGAACCTTTTTCAATGTTTTCGGCCAAATTCAAATAGTATCGGCTACTCTCAAATATCGGTCCATTATCGTTTTCATCTTGAACATGCAATAGAATTTCACAGAATGCCGTGAGCGATGGACTTGAATCACTTTCTGCATAAATGCCAATATAATGTGTATCTTTTAATTCGCGATCCAATGTTTTGGCCAAACTCAATTCACCGTCATCCGTTATTGTAAATTGTGGTGCATCCAAATTCATTTCCGATGCAATTCGATATTTGGCAGTAACATTTGTGGTGGTTAGTTTGAGTCGAGTTATCACCGTTCCGGGTGCTGAATTTTCTGGAATAAATAGGACACGTTCTCGTTTTTCAAAATTTGGTGCCACATCTGATTGTGACATAATGTAAACGTCGACCGCAACATCAGCATGCAACGATGGTGATCCGCCATCGTGAGCTCGTACAAAAAATTGAAACATTTGATTCTCCAATCGATCGGCCGATTTGCTCAAATACATTGCACCCGTATCTTCGTCAATGCTAAATAAATCTTTGACACCCGTATTCTGTGTATCGTAAATGCTGTATTTTATGACTGAATTTTGATTTTCATCAGCATCAAATGCTTTTATCTGCTCCATTTACGGGGAAAATTCAAATTTCACCAAAAAAAAATACCGTATTCAAGGGTATACATCGCATTTTTGATGGTTATTTTGAATCGGTTACACACAACAGCAGACGCAGCATAATAAATTAGAGATATGGGATGGTATACATACGACACAGATGCAAAGAAATTGAAATAGAAAGAGAAAAGAATAAAAAATTAGAATCGAAAGTAATGTATTAGTCAAATTGGATTTGATTTTCAAAATCATTCGAATGTTCGGTGAAATTATCTTTGCGATTTCTGCTCGTCGTCTATCCGCATTCTATTACTCGTATATATATATATAAATTTTTATGGATTATGTTGATTTGTACGCACATCAAAAATCAAAACAAAAACAGCGGCAAACGAAGGAGAGCCGACCAATGCCAATATGAATTGAAAAAGGGAATCGGCAATAAAAAAGAAGAAGAAATTGTAACATAAACATACATTCCCAACCGAATTGGTTATGTATTCGGTTGCAATATTTTTGATGGATTCCCTGATTGATGCACGACACAATGCGTTAAAGACGAAATTGGGAAGTGAAAACGCAAAAAGTTTTTCCACCGACACTCGTTTTATCATTCTCACACGCTCTATCGTTTTCGTATTGTGCACGGTGTGTGAGGTGGGTGAATTTAGTGTTGCAATTTAGGAAATTGTATCTATTCGACTCTGGCACCTCGTCTATATTTACTCTGGGGAGATTTACATTAGAGTGGCCATAAAATTTGTTGCCAATGTCGATTTTATGATGGCATATATAGCATCTGCTAAAGAGCAACGATTTCATGAACCAATTGGTCGGCCATGATTTGAATGAGATGATTTTGATTTGTAAAATAATTGCATCATTACTCAATAACAACCATATACATTGCATTTGATAATATTACAGTCACTTGCAGTTTGGTATGCGGTAACACATAAATGCGCGCACGTGATGTTCCACGTTGATTATTATTGATAAGAGATAAAATTTATCGCTACTCTAACACACAAATATGTAATGCTTAGCATCAACAACACCACTGAATATTTAGCATATAAAATCCTTTTATACTGTCGATCTGATGCGGGGGCCAAGTGGCTGTATCCAGTTCAAGCCTCTCTTTTTTTGCCATTGAATTGATGTGCGAGCATTGTATTCTATTTAAAGTTTACACTTTCAAAAATACATAAAATAAAAATCCCCATTTAATCCGCAACATGCGTACGTATATGTGAACTCTCACAATACCAATTTTGGTGCCCTGTTATCTATTCACATAAACGCACACGTACACGGATTCCCACACAGGCACACACACAATCGACAATAAAAAGTGACAACGATAGAGTGAGCGAGCACAAAAATCTATACCGAATACAAAACGAAAGAAAAAAAAATGTGTGAAAAATGGAGAAAGCACTTACATTCAAAAAGGTTGCATTCATTGATAAATTTCCATAAATTGATGTTTTATATTCACGCAAATAAAATTGAGGTGTTTTATCATTTTGATCGCCAACTCGGATTTTAACGTTTGCAAAACCCGACCGACCACCACCATCCGTTGCAATGATTGGAACCTCGTACATTTTCTGCTCTTCACGATCAAGTCGAATTTTTGTAACGATTTCCCCTTTTGTTTTATCGATTGAAAAATATTCCTTCATTTCATCGGAAAAAATGTCATATGTTAACATGCCGTAGTCACCAAAATCCTCATCAATGGCATTCACCTGAAACAAAACAAAATCCAAACGGAAAAAAAATGTAAGCGAATGAAGAACAAACAATATAAGTGTGAGTATGTGCACAGCTGTGAGCAAAACAAAGAAATCGCGACAGAAAAAAAAAGCAAACACACAATGAAATATGTAACAAATGAAAATGGTTTGTTGTTCGGAATATTTCGAAATTGGAATACAAGTTCTATAATCAAATATTCATGAGAGATGCAATGGCAAATGGGTAGTCTCGTTTCCCATTTACCACTTATGCCAAATGAATATTGTTGTTGTTGCTTTTTTTTCTCGTTTAGAAAATGAAAAGCCATTTAAAGGCTTTAACAAGTCAATAATCTAAATCAAATAATTTTTGCCGAGCAAAACGATGAACAAACGATATGGCAACGGTCGACGAACGTTTCTATTGCCCATCGTTATATTTTCATGCTAATCGAAAAGTTGGCAGCAGCAATAGTAGTTGCAAACAATATTATAACTTACCGTTATGACTAGACGGCCGGCCATTTGATTTTCATTAATTTTGACATCGTAGACGAGATGCGGAAACACGGGATTGTGTAAATTTGCGGGCAATATGTTGATTTGTACGCGTATAAAACTCGTATAGACACTGTCCGATACCGATATATTCAGAATGGTTGAATGATTTTCGGCGAAATTTTGCATATTGATCAATGTTATAATGCCGCTAATCGGATCAATTGCATACGTTTGCAACTCATTCCCTTCGGCAATTGAATATATCAAATTATCAGCATCAATATAATCTGGATCGCTGGCCGAAACGATTGTCACAAATTGACCGCGTACCGCATGCTGAGACAGCGAACAACTGTACGATGTTTGCTCGAATTTCGGTGGATTGTCATTCATGTCCATAACTACATATAGATGTGTATTTCGTTGGTTTTTATTTTAATTTTTTTGTTTTTTATTAAAAATTGTTGTTGTTTTCCGTGTTGATTACGATTTTGATTGTTCAATTGCGGCAATGTGATGTTTATTTTGTTGATTATCAGCGTATTAAATTGATTACATTTTGGTGAAATGAAATAAAAAATAAAATAAAAGAAGAGATCGAAATTAGATTAAATAAATTGGTTAATGATAATAAAAAAAGGAATTATTTAGTTTTTGATAGTTCGTTGCTCATCTAATGCAAATATGTTTAGTTTCATTTTTAATTAAATGAATTTCTCTTACCATGGCTGGTATTCATTTGTTCCTATGCACTAATTCATATCAACATTTTGATTTCGAAAATGGAAAATACGGTTACAGCGTGTTTTTTTTTTTGGCATACATATTGGGCAATTAATAAATGAATTCAATTTACATTCTTTTTCAATGCAAATGTAACTCTATCCAACCATTGGTTGGCAACCAAACCTGGCCGGAAAAAAAATACACAAATCTATGTGGTCTATCGTCAAAGTAATTCCATATAGATTGACTGAATCGTACACGATATGTTTCAATAAACCACAATTACTCGCAATTCAAATTTGTAGATGCATTTGAAATAGAGAGCTTATCAAAAACCGTGCAGTTCTCATTATAGGCAATAATTATAATTTGCACACCGTTGGGTTATGTAATGGCTTTTGCCACGATGTTCTGCCACAAAACCGTTTGTACAAAATTTCATTCAGAAACGATATTTTAACAAATACATAAATAGCCACAATTTTAATTCATTTTATCTATTGTATGTGATCGAAAACTGACCATTTTCCATTTGATTGCACTTGTTTATGGCATATATTAAAGTGGCAACAATGGAAAAAATATTGAGAATGAGAAATCGAAATGAAAATCAAAAAAAAAAAGCTAAGCAAATATCCAACGAAAATAAACTATTAATTAACTGGAAATGTAATTTGTCCGCTGAAAGGACAATCGTATTTAAATAATAATGGAATTATTGATGTAAACGTTGAATGACCGTTTCAAACAGAGTAGAGAACAACAAACGAGCATGATGAGTTGTGAGTGTCACTCACTGAGTGAGGAGGGCTGATGGGGATGAGATGGAGTATTGATAATGGTAGTAATAGAAGCTCCCTCTCGCTCACGAAAACAAAGAAAAACAATGTGAATTTAATTTCAGTAAATGATACGACCAGTCGTATGCTGAAGCTTATGTGATATATTGCTGCAACATTCTTCGAACAAATGCCACTTCACATTTTCAGCATGAACAATAACATATATATCTAACTCGTTGTTGTTGTTTTTTCTTTCGTTCAAACTAACATACAATACTATCATGAAATAACCATGACACACCATGAGTTTTGTTGTAAAGTTTGCGCGTTATACGAAAATGATGTGCGGACATTATTGTTGTTATTTTACAAACATAGTCGCATAGATTTACGTTTTTCATTCTAATGGTTCAGTCACCATTCCATGTCTAATACAATAGATTGTCACAAAATATGTATTTCAATTAAAAACCAAAATTGAATCGTTCCATGGATAATAATATCCACGGCTATTGTATGTGTGTGTATGGGTGGCGATGCACAAACACAAATTTAATGGCATTTTTGTTCAGATGTGATGAATGATATCGACTTTTTGGAGCGTTGATAACATTTTGATCAGTGACTTGTTGCAAAGCCATTTGTTCGACCATTACCCGGCCACTTCATGTGGCTCTCACCCTTTCTGTGCTCGGGCTGAAATATTGTATGAAAATGCATTTCATGTTTAATGAGAAATGCTTGAAAATGATGCAAAATCGATTCCGATGAACTGAATTTTCAAATGTGCATCGTGTCTATGCATGTCACCCCGATTTCCCATTTAGATGCCCCATAATAATGAAATCATTATGAAAGAAAAATGTGCACATTTTTCATCATATGATATCGATCGATTTTATCACACAATATAAAATTAATCATCAAATTATGTTGTGGTCATTTGTAAATAGGAAATATACAATCGCATCTTCAGTCTCACTCACAACACACTCACCATTGTTTGAAAATGAAAATGGTACGGTTTAATGGCATTTTTCGATCGAAAACTGAATAGAAACTTTAATGAAAAATTGTATTATTTCCATCATGTATATGCAATGCTTGTATCTCTCGCATATTTTGATTATCAATGGGCTTGACATTATGTGAACTCTCATGTCTCGCATGTATGCATTATCCGACCATTGTACCCGACTATATTATACTTTAAGCTGTAAAATTGTTCGTTACTTTGGATGGGATTTGCATTTTTTATGATTCATTGTTTCGTTAATGAACCGGAAATTTCGAGAATGACCATATCATCAACGACGGAAATCGATATAGCCATGGATATACATTGACAATTTCACTTTGGCCGATAGTGAATTTAACCAGATTCGAAACGAATGACAAAAAAAAAACAAACAAAACGTAATACGAATAACATTCGGTGAGGACAAATTGATGGCCATGCCATCGATTCGAGTTTACAGTAACAATTATTCACAAAAACTGTCACAGTAATTTTCAAACGATGGCATTTCTCTATAGATTGGTTTGTGTGTTTGTGTTTTTGTTTGCAGCGTAAATTCAACTCTACACAGCCAGTGAATTAATATCACATTAATCAAGGTTCAAACAAATAGAGATGCTTGTCGTTCTTATCTCATGAATTTTGCATTTGAAAGCTGAACCATGTTGAATGTACGGAGTCGATTCATGGAACGATGATACATTTAATACGATTCATTCAAACGAAATTCGGTTCCGGAGTAAATATACAAAAACACTAAATTAAATTTCAACGTTAATACGCACTAATTATTATATGCGAAAAAGTATTATGTTGTAGTGACAAAGACTAGAAAATGAACGAAAATGCAATTGAAATCAAATCGACAAACAAACATACAAACGAACAAAAACACTATATTTATATATCGTTGAGTATCATTGAAAATCGTTTTGTGAACTCAAGCTCTCGCTCAAACAATGCAAACGTAATTAAAAGCAACGCAGCTTGTATGTCATGATGTTTGTTTGTAAACTTTTTTTTCGTTGTTCTGATTGAACGACAGAATACATATGGGAATTTCAAATGGAAAGCACACTATAAATAGCATAAAAAATGCTACCAATGTTGAGCTTTTCATGTTGACAACCAAGTATTCATTAAATTGAATAAATTTCACGTATCTAACTCTCTTTCTCTCTCTCTCGCTCTCTCTTCACATATACCCTTTTGTTTCAATGCTGTTCAAATAAAAGCTACCTCATATGCACACAACAATTATCGTGTACACTATGAAAGTGTGTGTGTTTTCACGTTAACGGAACGCAATTTGAATTAATAGTGTAGTAAAACGAACGAAAAATAGTTTTATTGTTTAGTTGATATGTTTAAATATGTGAAGAAGAGAAAAGCGCTAGAGAGTGAAGGGTTATATGTGAGCGAAAAGCCGTTCACTCTTTTTATGCCATATCATTCATGGTCCTTTTTTCGAGAAAAAAAAATAGTGAATATTGTTACAGAAAATTACGTACCCTAAAACAATGACCATAACACTTAGGGTAATATAATGGTTGTATAACAATCATGGCGTTTTTCAAAGGTAGTTCAATGAAATAAACAATGAACTTTTCATATTAACTGCTTAACGATGAGAGAATAGAAGGCAACACGACCATAGTGAAGTAATAAAAATGAATGCGGTGTCCACAGCTAAAATTGATCCAATGATAAAGTAAGCTGTTTTGCCAATTTTTAAACTGAATATGGGTTCGATTATCGTTTGGGACCAGGGGTCTGAGAGAGAGGTCGGATCCCTCAAAACGGATTGAGAAATTACCCGATAACAAACTTTGAAAAGTAAGCCTACTTTTTTTGTTCATCCATTTGTGGGAGACTAAATTACCCCCGAGACTTTTCGAAAAATCTTCGAATTACCATCTCTCCCCTGGATCACCAATTTCAGAAGCTATGAAGTCGATTCAAAATAAACCGAACAATCAAATTAAATAATATCGTGGATATTAGTGATTTTTATCTTTAAATCCACGCAATGTACATAAAGGATTTGCATATTATCCAAAATATTTGCAATACATATTATTATTAGAATGGAATGTTCCAGTAATAAGAATGTATTTTCCATTTTCTTCACTTTTTTTGTCATTAATTCCAACCATTCCGCAATGACGGAATTTCACGTAAATACATATCATTCTGCATTTTTTTGTGAAATTTATATAAGTTCAACTAACAAAAGCCCTTGAATTGAATGTGTGCCACGTCCCATAGCAAATACTCCACATTTGCAAATTCAATGAGCAACAATAAACGGATAAAAAGGTATAAATATAAACAAATGCCACTTACCTTTAACCCATACGTGAGCCGTTGAGCTGAGAGTCGGTACACCCTTATCGATGGCAATAACCGTAAAATGATGTGCAGCTAATTGTTCATGATCTAATGATTTTTTCAAATAGACAACACCTTCGATTGGATCCATTTGAAAATATTCCGATGTATTTTTATTGTCCGTTTGAATGCCATACGTGACCATTTGATTAATGCCGGTATCATTATCATGGGCGACCACTTTCAGAATGGCCGTACCAAATGTAGCACCTTCCGATACGGTAACATTGTAGCTATCCTGTTCAAAAATCGGCAAACAATCGTTAACATCTTGAACGAGCACCGATACAGGCACCTCAGCCGAAACACCAGACACCGAATCGGTTGCCCGAATCACCAATTCATAATGCTGCTTTCGTTCGTAATCCAAATCATCCACCACATAAATGGCACCTAAACAATTTTTCAATTAAACGAATGAAATGAACAAATCCATCGATTTATTCGAGAGAAGAGAAAGAGAAAGAGAATAGAAACAAAAACAATCAAAATTAATTATCAAATTTATAAGTTAAGATACATTTAAATCCAAAATGCAAATTTATTATGGGATTATAATAAACAAACAAATATCAAGCACAAAATTTATCGAAATGAAATGGAAAAACTTGAAAATTAAATCTAAGACAAACAAATGGTATGAAACAAACGAAATGCAAAGTATATATTATGTATTAATTTAAGATATGTATAACAGGTAAATTGTCGAGACTTTTCTTTGGATTTACGTCAATGCTTGTTAAAAAAAATGAATTCGGCTGGAATTATTGAAAAACTTTTAACATTCTTGGAACAAGTAAATGAAAAAATTTGTGGGTGAGATGAAGAGTGACAGCGAGGAAAAAGGCATAGCTTGCGGTCTTCATTTTTATGTTTACAAAAGTATGTTGATGTGTAATGTTATAAATGATTTGAATGCTATGGTGTTTTTCAAATAAATTTCCATTTAATATTTGAATTAAAATATGCCCGGAATGCTATGTATAAACAAAAAACCAACTAAAGTAAATTTGTTCATTTCTATTATTCAATTTTTTTTTGTTTGTTAAAATATAAATATGATTATAAAAGCGGATGCAAACATCAAATGGCAAAACGATAAAACCAAAAACTAATATCACAATTTTCGAATCATAGACAAAACTAAAAGAAACAAACACAACCACAAACAAATTGGTAAATATTTGTGTGTTAGTTGTCACGCATACGATGCAAATGGTGACACAAAATGCTCATCACGCATTCCATTCAAAGGGAAAATATTAAATTCACTTACATATATATATATGAATGACAAGAGAGCGCAAAAAGAAAACAGAAAAGATATGAAGACGAACGGAAAAATGTGCATGAGCTGAGAAACGTGCAGAATATTTCTAGAAATATGAGCATCGTAGTTGATCTGATGCTTCTCGATTCACGCGTGCAGAAATACATTCCTTGGCACATGCAATTACTTTTTGCACTTTCATCGCATGCAAAATTCGAAATGAATGTATGCCACACATTCATACGGCGTTTTCGTTGAATTCAATAACAACAACAAAAAATAATATTTCGATCAATAAAAAATGCATCGAAGACTATCTCATCTTACATTTAGCGCAGAGGATGAAAAGTACAACTAAATTGAGTTGATTACAATCTTGTTAACTATGCATAGTGCATGCCGACATTTCACTATGCAAATCAAAACAAACAACGCACACACAAACTTCAAGATCATATATGCAACACATTTCGCGACCGGATATACTGGAGCAAACGCACGCACACACTCAAAATCAATTTTCGACGAAGAGATACGTAAGTGGCAAAAAGTCATGAATTTTCACTTTGATTTGCCGTCAATCGTAATTTAGAGCTTTCAAACTTCAACTGAACACCGCAAATGATACTTATGGATAAACAAAACTTTAGCTCTCAAATTATTATTATGCATGATGATGATGATGATGAGTGGCGGTGGTAATATGGATGGTAGTGATGGTGTTTGTCGAGAAAACGGATTATTACTGCTTCAATTCCGAACTCGGTTTCGATGTAAATTCTCTCATCTTGACGATTAATATTAATAATCAAATATGGTTGGAATATGGGGGGGGGCGAGGTTTGTGGTAAATAAGCGTTGAGCATTTATTTAACAAAAGCACAACAATCAAACCCAACATCGGCCATCTAATTCGCTTTGAGTATTTTGTACTTCGGCATATCAATTGCGAATGTATAATGAGCGTTTTGAGACTATGTGACTAATGTTGTTACTACTAATGTTGTATTGACCAACTGCTACATAATGTAGTCCACATTAAGTAGTGGTTATTGCAAATAACAGCATCAACCCCCACAATTAAATTTAGATATTTGATGACGAACATTTAAGCGACACGAAAATAGAGTGAGAGCGACTGAGATTTGTTACGAACACTCAATGATCACACACATACCAGTCAAATATTTGCCATTTAAGTTAAAAAAAGAATGTTATGAAATGAACAAGCAAAGATAAAAACCATTTTCTCTCTATCTCTTTTTGAAGACTTAATCAGCAGCAATAACCATATACTCAACTTCCGTAACAATTATTCATTTCTCCCGAGCGCGTGCTTCATTCGACGCATCAAGGAAGAAAGCGCGCACGAGAGGGAGAGCGAAAGAGGAAAAGAGAGAGAAAAATGAGATATGAAGCGGTAAACAATTTCATTTTTATGTAAACATTCATTTTCGAAATCCCCAAACCAACTTAACACCCATATTCATAATGAAAATATAGAAATCAGCTACAAACACATCGCACTTTGTGCGCAACTCAAATATATCTTTTACATATACAATATTCACATCCACATCAAAACGATAAAGAAAAACTCATTCAAACTGGCAAATAATAATATAAAAATAATCACGCAATTAAAACAAAATGTAAAAAAAATATGAAAAGAGAATTACAGTTTTAAGCTAAAATGCTTCATTGCACTAAAAGCAAGTGAAAAGAACGATTACAAAAAAAGTTGAAATTGTCAAGAATGAGAGAGAGAGTGTGTGTGTGTGTACTTGTATACTAGAAATCGGAACAGAAAGGAAAAAACGAACTCGAAGCATGTTTCCAAAGTAATTGCAAAGTTTGACAAGATAATGACGCTGAGGACGATTCATTAATGTATGGTTGTTATACATAAGTTTGTTTAAGATTCAAACGAAAGAAAGCAACATATAAATACAAGAAGATAGAGAGGGGGAGGCGGTGAAGATGTTGGATGATGGAGATTAAAACAATAATGTTTTTCACTCGGTTTTTTAAAATTGCTTCTCGAAGCAGTTTTCAATGACAAGACTTAAAAACATAAATTGATGTCATACGAAAATGAGACGCAAATTTTACAAACGAAAAAAAACTCTTTACTCAATCCGTTGTGAAAATAATGCAGTGCTGGTATGAGATGGAAAGAGCACCCGGAAAACCCTTCCCAGGCATCAGTTGAGTATTTGTTTTGATTTGCTATGGATTTTCGATTGGCGGATGAAGCCCCCTTCTCCCTTAATTTTTCGTCCGTGCCCATGTACCCATGTAGTATGATTGAAGGCAACAACGACCAAATGAGTGAAGAACGAGTTTATTTAGTGTTCGTTTATGTGCAGTGCATACGCATCGTGTGTGTGTTGATGAACACCGAACAATTTCACAACGGATATGTCCGGGAAAGTTTGTCGTTGCTGGTGTATGTGTATTGCATTTTATAGTCACTTAGTCATGTGATGTACGGCACATTATTTCTAAACTGAAATAATGAAATTTAGAATGAATCTGAACTATGCAAACCGAGTTCGTTGGCACAACATAAAATTAAACTATCCATTAAATGCAAAACATTTTCTGTATTTCATTTCGAGTGGAATTCAATGGGCACAAAATCACAATTTTTAAATTTTACAATTTGATTGATATTTGGTCAATTGGCTGAAAAACATGCAGTGATTTTGCGAAAATGCGAACACAAATTATATCATTTTGATATACAGTACGTGCACGTGCTGCGTACAAAAACACTAATCAAACGTGGATAAAGAATGCACACAAAAATATATATATATATATGGATGGAAATATGCAGAGAAAAATAGGCATAAAACGTGTATGATGAATAGAAAAACCGCCACCCAGCCATCAATGATAATAAGTACAACAACTGGCTAAAATCACTTAATTCTCTCATAATCCTGTTAATGTGCCCACAAAACATTCATACTCTCCAACCATAAAATGATATTGTACACGCGTAGAAGCGTCATTCAAAAACTTTTCATTGCATTCGCAATTACCATTGCCGTTATTATTATAGTTGTGTCAGTATTATATGTTTCGTCACAAAATTTGATTCGCTTAATCAAAAGTGAGAACGAGAGACAGAAAGAGAGAGAGAGACAGAGACAGAGAGAGAAAGGCAGAAAGGGCGCGTGAAGGAGAAAGATAGAGTTTTGTTGACAGTGTTTTATAGTTTGAGAGTGAATTAGTTAACAATAACCGAATGTAAAGCTTTATATTTAGTACGGTCACCGCATTAACATTAATTGTTCAACCCATTGAAAATGAACACTTTTTTACCCACCACTTGCTTCTTTCAAACTTACTGGCATTTTTGTATTGCCTTTTTTGCTCAACTGTGTGTACACACATACACAAAAATGTATATGTACAAAATGTGAACAGTAACTTAAGATTTAGCAACATGAATTCGTTTGCATGATAGAACGTGCGATGAGCAGCAATATAAAATCAAATGCATAAAAATTCATATGGGGCTGGCTGACTGGCCGAAGGGAAAAAACGTTTTTTTTTTGTTTGTTTTTTCGCATTGTACCCTTGTGAAAACGATTTCTATACGTGCCTAGAAATGATTATAATCACGTTAATTTAATCATAATCGTTTAAAAAGAACCTCAAATCAAATAGTTAATCACTCAAATTGGCTGACCCCCAACTGACTGTTCAAAACATCCCTAATCAAAATGACAAACTGTGAGTCGAAAAAAAATTTTTACACAAGGGGTTCTGTAATTTTTTTCTATCCACGTTTTTACATCAAATTCTTTTTTTTTAAGAACAGCAGTATTTCTTCACAATCTGCAAGTGCATGGGCGAACGTTAAAAATGGCGACAATCAAGGAAAATGCAAGCATATGCAACTTTAAAGGCTAAAGCCTCTGATACGTCGTTCTCTTTCTATCTTCTCGTTCTCGTTTAGTTAATGAATGTGTTAACATTCTTAATTTACTGCTGAACATTGCTCTTCAGAAAACAATAAAGTTTTCTGAACACTATGAACAAATTTTTCTTTTTCGTAATCGGCAGCAAGCTGAATAAGCCAGTGAGAATGAGAGCGACGAAGCGAGAA